GCGAGCCGCCAGGGGTCGCACGGGGCTGTTCCCAAGGCCGGATGGGGTGGGGGTCTTCTCCGGTCTCACCTTGGAGCTGCTCACGAAGCGAACTTCCACGGAGACCCGGGCCCGGCCCGCCACGCCCATGCAGAAGGAGAACACGTCGCACATGGAGGCCGCCATCTTGGGCGCGCCTCCTCCTCCTGACCCTTGACCCGGGCCCGGGAGGCCCCGCCCCCACTGGCCCCGCCCCCGGTTTGGCTGCTGGGGTTGACCCACGCGCGAATCCGAATTTGGGTCCGTGTGATCTATGTTTAGATCCACTGGTGTGTGGACTGGGTGGAGCTGGGTCTGCCTTTGTGCTTCTTAAACGAATGTTTTTATTGATTTCAGAGAGGAAGGGAGAAGAAGAGAGAGAGAGAAACATCAATGATGAGAATCATTGATCGGCTGCTTCCTGCACACCCCACATTGGGGATCAAGCCTGCAATCCCTGCATGTGCCCTGACCGGAATGGAACCCTGACCTCCTGGTTTGTAGGTAGATGCTCAAACACTGAACCACGCCAGCTGGGTCTGCCTTTGTGCTTTTACATTTGTTCAGTTTTGCATCTGTCTCTGTCTTTGTGGCCAGGATGGGCCTGTATCAGAGCTGGTGTGCTGTATGGTTTTGATGTGTGCATCTGTCTGAGTTCCCCATGTGCCCTGACCGGAATGGAACCCTGACCTCCTGGTTTGTAGGTAGATGCTCAAACACTGAACCACGCCAGCTGGGTCTGCCTTTGTGCTTTTACATTTGTTCAGTTTTGCATCTGTCTCTGTCTTTGTGGCCAGGATGGGCCTGTATCAGAGCTGGTGTGCTGTATGGTTTTGATGTGTGCATCTGTCTGAGTTCATGTTTGTGTGCCTGTTGTCTCTGTCCATTCACTGACGCTTCTTGACTAAAGCAGGTCTTTGGACCCAGCCGAGAGGTAGGACAGCAGTGGGCAGAGTTACTCCTATCCTCTCTAACCCTCAAGCTGAAGGGAAGGACTAGCTTACTCCACAAAGTCTGGCACAATATTTCCCTTCTCCGTGGGCCCTCTGGCAGCGGGGCAGACAGTCCTACCAATGATCAAGTTGGACTTATTCCTGTCTCAGACTCTTCAGCGGCTTAGGGACTTTGCAGCCAGGGCGAGGGGCGGGGTGGAGTAGAATCCATAGTGGACGCCACGTCTGAGATCCCCTAAAATTATAGGCAGGCGAGTGAGTGTACATATGCACATTGTCCTGACAACAAGAGAGGGGCCGTTTTCCCACTCAGGACCCCAGGAAGCTGCAACCACTGATCTATAAGTCATGGGTCCCCACAGCCAGGCCTGACCACCATGCCCTGTTTCCTTGTCTTCCAATTGATTCTGTACGCTTGAAAAGGGACCTGTGTCTCCTTCTGCCGTGGTCCCATGGCGACATTTGGGGATTGAGTAGAGCCCAGTAACTGCTGAAAAGGTAACTGTTGATTTAAAAAGAAAAAAAAAGTGAGCCAGTTGTTCCTGGAAGAGGCAGAAAAGATTCAGCTGGGTTCTTTGATTAATAGAATTGCCTTTGGGTCCAGCATTAGGGAGGATTTCCCTGAAGATGGGTACAGAGAAGGGTTCTTGGAGCTGGACCCTGGCCTCCCTCACGCCTACAGCCTGGTGTCCAGGAGAGGATGGTCCACTGCTTTGGGAAGCAGGTGGTTTTCCAAGGCTGACTCTACTGCCTGCCTTTCCTCCCTCAGAAAACTAGAGCAGCAGGGACCGTGCCCCCTTTCACCACCAGGTGGCAGGGCAGGCCTCCTTCCACCAGCTCACCTCTACATTCTAAAGCAGTGGTTCTCAACCTTCCTAATGCCGCGACCCTTTAATACAGTTCCTCATGTTGTGGTGACCCCCCCAACCATAAAATTATTTTCGTTGCTACTTCATAACTGTAATTTTGCTACTGTTATGAATCGTAATGTAAATATCTGATATGCAGGATGTATTTTCATTGTTACAAATTGAACATAATTAAAGCATAGTGATTACTCACAAAAACATATATGTGTTATATATGTGTTTTCCGATGGTCTTAGGCGGCGACCCCTGTGAAAGGGTCGTTTGACCCCCAAAGGGGTCGCGACCCACAGGTTGAGAACCGCTGTTCTAAAGAACTACCCTCACCACAGTGCACCACCCAGGAATGTGGAGCCTGAGAGAAATCTATTCTGAAAATGCTTGTGACTGTCTTCACTGAGGTAGGCTATCAGTTAGGCTTCTTAGAGACAAACCAAGCAGATTCCGGGGAAGGAAAGGGAACTGTGAGTCAGGGTAGTGGAGAGGGGTAAATAATCACTGTTTTATGAAAAAACAGCAGAGTTTATGGTAAAATGCCACCTTGGCAGAGGCAGAGTCAAATTACTCTATATAAAGATGCGGGGGGAGGCGGGGTTAGGAAGGGAAGCTAGAGAGAAAGATAGTGGTCAGGGTAGCATGTCTGCTTCAAGGAGGCACCTGGGCCTGAGCCCCTTCTGAGAGTTATAACAGTTCAGACAAAACAAGAAAACTTTGGGGAACCTTGTGAGGGGACGGGGACTAAATAGCCTACCTTTCCCTCTTTTTTTTGCTGTCAACTCTACCATTTCTGTCTCGGGGAAGACTTCTATGCCCAGACATTGATTCAAGGAGCCTCTCTCTGCTCCACAACCAGGCCAGGAAGAGATTAATCCCTGGGGAAGCCAGGGCTGGTACAGGACCACTCCCCCAGGTGGAGGGGTCTATAAGCCTTAACAGTTGCCACACACTTAGCACTGGGCCTGGCGCTCCACATCCAGGCCAGGAAGAGATTAATCCCTGGGAAAGCCAGGGCTGGTACAGGCTCCACTCCCCCAGGTGAAGGGGTCTATAAACCTTAACAGTTGCCACACACTTAGCACTGGGCCTGGCACACTGTAAGTGCTTTATAGACATCATCTTAGCCCTGGGAGCTCTAAGCTATCAACACACCCATGATACAGGTGAAGAAAAAAGGCTCAGAAGTTCAGTAACGTGGCCAAGGACATAGCTGAAGGTCAAAGTCTGTGCTCCTGACCATGACATTATTGCAGCCTCCAGGAGTCAATATTGAAACGTTCTCAACGGTTCAGATTTCTCTGGTGCCCGTTGACCCCGATGAGACGCTTTGTCAATATGTAGAGCAGGTAGGTCCAGGGGGTGTCCCCAGGAAGAGCTAGCCCAGGCAGCCTGGGTTGAGCCTTCATCCCAATCCTCAGCTGTCCCCTCCTGACTCCGTGTCTTCTCTCTGGATGATGGTGTCAGAGCTGCTGGAGGGCTCGTCTGGGGAGGTAGCCATGGCAGACACAGCTGGTGGTTTCAGCCTTTGCTGCTTCTGATACTTGACCCTGCGGTTCTGGAACCAGACCCTCACCTATAATTGGAGGCAGTGGGCAAAGATCAGAATGTGACTAGCAATTCCCATGGCTTCCCCCATTCCCACAGAACCCACTCCACTCAAAATTGGCTCTTCCATTTAAGGGAAGCATTGCCCCCAGCACATCCTTTCCTTAATTCCAGTTGCCATTCATTCATCCGTTCACCCAACAAGTATTTTTTGAGCTTCTATTATGTACTAGGCCAGTGATGGCGAACCTTTTGAGTTTGGCGTGTCAGCATTTTGAAAAACCCTAACTTAACTCTGGTGCTGTGTCACATATAGAAATTTTTTGATATTTGCAACCATAGTAAAACAAAGACTTATATTTTTGATATTTATTTTATATATTTAAATGTCATTTAACAAAGAAAAATCAACCCAAAAAATGAGTTCGCGTGTCACCTCTGACACACGTGTCATAGGTTCGCCATCACTGTACTAGGCACTACTCCAGGTGACGGTGACACCGTGGTGAGCAACAGAGGCATGGTCCCTGCCCTCATGAAGCCCACAGTCTAGTAGAGAGAGACTAATAACAAGCATGAAAACAAGCACATAGATAAATGCAAGTGGGGGTAAAAACAGGTGTTTGAGTCTCCCTGAGACTCAGTGGATAAGAGGCCAGCCTGGCGGGGACCGAGAAAAGCAGGCCAGGGCAGGGTATGAGCTGTAGGAAGGCTCTGAGGTAGAACCAAGCTTGGGGTATTTGAGGACCAGGAAGGAGGAGAGCATCCCTGGCACAACCAAAAGTGAGAAGAGAAAGTAAAGGAAGAGAAAATGGAAGAGGTCAGTGAGGGCCAGATCACCCAGGACTGTGAAGGTCAGGGGCAAGGAATGTCAACTTGAAGGCTTTTGAGTGGAATGTGACATAGTCCTATTTACTTGTTGAGTCTTATTTACATGGCACATCTGGCTGCTGTGTGCAGAATGGATGAAAGGAGATGCAGGGGGATGGCAGGGAGGTTCTTGCAGTGATCCAGCAAGAGCTGGGGCTGACAGGACTGGGGCTGATAGGACTGGGGCAACGGAGAGAGATGAAGCGATTCCAGCAGTATTTTGGAGTAGAGGTGACAAGGCTTGCTGACGGGTTGGTAGCGGGAGAGAAGGGGAAATCTAGAATGACTAGGTATTGTGAGCAGCGGGAGGGATGGTGGGGTCACATGTGGGGAGAGGGACAGATTTGGGGAGGGGAAAAACGTCAAGAATTGAGGTTTAGACGTGTTAAATTTGAAATGCCTATCCATAAGACATCCAAGGGGAGACCTCAAGAAGGGAGTTAGATGTACAAGTCAGAAAAGGGAGGGGGGCGGTTAAGACACAAATTTAGGAGTCATTGGCTTATAGATGGTATTTCAAACCATGAGAATAAATGAGATCAGCTGGGGAGAAACATTTGAAGTCACAATGAGAAGAATAGCCTACAAAGGCAACAGAGAGGTGGGCAGAGAGCTGAGAGGAAAACCGAGAGAGCGTGTGTCTGGAAACCAGGAGAAGAGTGTGTTTCAATGAGAAAAGGAGCAGCCAGCTGTACTGAGCGGCGGAAGAAGGAAAGAAAGGAACGCATCTGTTGACTTTGGCAACACAGAGGTCATTAGAGACCCTGATGAGAAGTTTCATAGGAATGGAAGGGAAAGAATTCACATTGGAAAGAGTTAAGGAGTAGATGGGAAGTGAGGACATGGGGACAGGGAACATAGCCAGTTCTTGAGAAGTTTGTGAAAAGAGCAGAGAAATGGTGCAGTAGCTGGAAGGGAGTATGGGGGTCATGGGAATGTTTATTATTTTTAATATTCAGTTACTTGAATACCTACTTAATTTCACTGCCAGCTCCTTATTTAGCATGAAAATGTAAAGTTCTAGGTTAATATTTATAAACTAGAGGCCTAGTTCCTTCGCACCCACCTTGGCCTGGTGCTGCCCACTCACCTGCTCCACCATCCCACCACGCTCCTGCTCTCATTGGGGCCCATTGGGCCGGCAGCGCCTCCACTACCACCCACTGCCAGCACCATATCACCAACACCCGCCATGTTCTGCACCGCACCCTGGTGGTCAATACATATCTAACTTCTGGTCAGTTGAACTCCCGCCCGTAGGGACAATTTGCATATCAGCTTTTTATTATATAGGATATTATGTGATGTTTCCATAATACCATTTCAAATGGGGCTATTTTTCTCAGTCATGCAGAGAGTATGCCAATTAATTAGGCCTGCCTCCCCCAACGGCCTGGCACAGAAGAAGAAAGCCCGTTTCTTCATCCCAACTACCAGGGCCTTCCAGAGAGTAGTGTCTGTCCCCAGGTGCAGCCTGGGCCCACAGGAGGCTCTGTTCCTACCTGGTTCTCTGTAAGGTTGAGCCGGGCTGCCAGCTGGGCTCTGTTCTTTCCTACTAGATTGTGCTGTTTTGCAAACACCTTCTCCAACTCTTCCAGCTGCTCCAAGTTAAACATAGTTCGAATCCTCTTTTGGGGTCTCTCAGTGTCCTGAAGGTCCTCACTTGGGGCCCAGTCTGGGGGACTCCAGAGGCCTGGGCAGTGAATCAGCTCCAAACCTAAAGAGTAGGAGGGGAGGTTAACCAGCACCCACCTACCCACCCAAGTTGGAGGGGAGAGAACAAGCCCACCGCTCCACTGCCTGGCCTTGCCCTTGGCTGGGTAACACAGCAAGGGGCATAGTGGGAAGAGACTGCACAGAAATGACAAAACAAGTGAGACAGAAGGGACAATGTTGTGAGACTCCTGCCTCCACGATTCTCCAGCTGAGTGGCTTAACTTCTGACCCTAAGAGAAGTTGTTGAAACTTCATCTCTCCTTGCCCTCCACTCCTTTCCTTGGCTCCCTCAGGAACCCCACAGGATGGGCAGAGAAGGGACCCTCAAGGGTTCCCCCTTTTTGTTCATCAAACAAATACTTTTTGAATGTCTGTGTGTCAGGCATGGTTCCAGGACAAAATAGAAAAATCTCTGTCTAACAATAGAAAAGGTAAAGAAAATATTGAGTATGTCAGACAGTGATTAATACTAGTGAGAATATAGCAGGGAAGGATAGTGAGTGTGTGTGTATGTTGGGGGGAGGATAATTTGCATTTTTAGAAAGGGAACTGAGGTGATATTTGAATAAGGCCACTATACGCAGTTTGTGCCCTGCACAGGGGTACCCAGCTGGGAGGGTAAGTGGAGTCTGAAATTCTGCTCGCTCTCCACAGGCCAATAGTTGCCCCCTGACAAGGCTCTGTGTCTGCCTGAAGGAAGGGGTGACTTTTCCCAATGCACACACAGGTGCTATTCAGCTCGCCGAGATGTAGACAATGGAGATGAAGATTCGTCCACCAGGGGACAGTACCTGAATTACAACGCGAAAGGAACGAGAAAGTGGACCATTTGGCTGTCTGGGAGGGGAGTGTTCCAGACAGAGGAACGGAAGTGCAGCGCTAAGACCCCCTCAGCTTCCATTAGCCTTGGGGAGGCTCCCAGGGCTGCAAACTGTTCCAGGGAAGGGAGTGAGGCCAGGACCATGGCTGCCCAGGACACCAACCACCAGGCAACCCAGACTTACCATAAGTGTAAGCAACATAGCAAGAGGTGAGACACATTAATAGGGTCTGATTAAATAAAGTATAGTGCACCCTTACAATGGACCACTCTGAGGTGTAAAGAAGCTCTGTGTGGATTGATATGAAAAAGTAAGGCACAGAGCAGTGTGTCTAGTATGGGGGGAAACGTGTGTGTGTGTGTGTGTGTGTGTGTGTGTGTGTGTGTGTGTATTCAGGTATTAAATATGCATAAAGTACTTCTGAAAGAATCAAGAAAGGCGTCATGGATTGCTTGTGGGATGCGGGTAACTAGGTCTTTGAAGGTCAGCCACCTAGTGGTAGAGGGAATTTCTCCATCTCTTAGTAAACATTTTTTTTCTTCCTGAAATCAGTTACTGTATTAGTAAACATTTTGACATTTGAACTGTGTGAATGTAATAGCTATGCAAAAATGAACTTGAAAATGGGGCAACTTTAATGTAAAGTAGTTACGTGCAATTCAGACCTCAGGTGTGTGAGGAGGTTAGAAACCATGGCGGGGTGCGATGGGGCTGGCTCCGGCTGCAGTGGCATGAATTTGGATGGGGTTGGGAACCCAGGGTTTCTCTCCAACATGGGTGGGAGGCATCCCCCTCCAGAACCCCGAAAGCACTCTAAGAAAGCAGGCTCAGAGAGGTTCAGGTGGAGATGAGCTCACAGAGAGGTGAGCAGTGGAGGCGGCACTGGGGCCTGGGGATGGCCAGCTCCCAGCAGCTCCCGGCTGACCTGCACCACCTGTAGCATCTGCTTCTCCTGGCTAAGACGGGGCCATGGAGTCACCATAAGGGCTGCTTTGGGGAATAGTCTGCGCCACCAAGCATGATCCAAAGGGGGTGTGGGAGGGAGCAAACCCCTCGTGGAGGACGCCGAGTCCCCTGCAGTCCCAGCGCTGGCCGTGGTAGCCTTCCGAGCCCCGCTTGGGTCCGCCGGCACCTCTCGCTCCGCACTCGCCCTCACACTCGCCCTCACACTCGCCCTCCCACCTCAGCAGCCGGCAGGGAAGCCTGGCGCCAGGGGCTGCTCTCAGCCAGCCCTCCGGGGCCTCGGTTTCAACTGCAAGGTCAAGGGTCATAGGGCCCTTTCCCCTCCAATCGTGTGCGGTTCCCAAACTCAGGGACTTCTCTAACCTATGCAAGCCACTGTCGGGGCCTCACTCTCCACCTACCCCGCCTGCTTCCCGGGGCACCTCATACCTGTGACGCCGAGGCCCTGGAGACCGCCGAGGTGAGCCGCGCGCAGCCCCAGCGCAGGGGGCTGGGGGGACGGCT